CCCATTTAGGTGGACATATGCCCTGCTGGCCCAAAAGCACTGAGTACTGTCTTATTTATTTTCTGCACATAAATCCCTCTTTTAAATCCTTTTTCAAAACCAAACAATATTGATGGTTTCTTCAAGGCAGTTTTGTAAGAGAAGGGATAGATTCACAAAAGTTTTTATGGCACAATATATTTTGACTATTCATGCTTCTCAGTTAAGTATATTTGTCACCTCAAATTTCTTATGAAATAAATGGGATTTATTTTAAAGACCACAAAAAGCTGGAGTTAATCTTATTTCACCAGTTTCAGGAAAGTCATGCTAATGATTTTTTTTTTAATTTAATAGGGCTCACAAGAAAATTTTTCAGGAAAGTCTAAGCGCTGGCTAGGTCTGTTTCATATTTTAGTAAGACAGAAGTCTTTCTGACCCTGGGGAAAATCTTTTAAAAATGGCAGTTCAGAGTTTTCTCAGAGGTCAGCCATTCTGCCAGAATAATTAAATCAGATCTACAGTAAGTGGTCCTTTTTTTTGCTTCTTCAAACAGCACTTGGGAAAATAATGGTTTTTCTCCTATAGAGGAATGTTAAGGTGAGCTGTGTCTTTTTCTTATTGAGATGCCTCGTCTTAATGACGCCAAGTGCTTAGAGGGGGAGGGTGAATCTCCCCCTTTTTTGTGGTAAATGCAGATTCTTTTGCCCCACCTGGGCCTCAGCCAGTGCTATGAATCAGCACCTGCATGCCAGATTGAGAGATAACAAGGCTGGGTTTAATTGCTGGTTGATTAGTCTCCCCCCCTCCTTTTTTTAACCTGGTCAATTGCATCTTCTCTGGGCTTTTCACCTGGGTCATTTTGAAAGTGGGATGGGGTGGGTACTTTCAACTTTCCGGCTCCCTCTATCTTCCACTGCTTCTGGAAGAAGCAATATTTTGACTGGTGACATGTTTAATAAACATAAGGGAAGCGGAGTGACACATCAATGTTAATGAAACCAGTTTGGAGTTCCTGCGAAGAGATTCCCCAGAGACTCCTCAGAAAGAGAAAAAAATTTGATTGAAGCCACTAAGCAACCATGTATGATTGCGATGGGATTTACTAGCGTGGTACATAGTGGGCAGTTTCGTACATCATGCTCAACCCCTAATCCTGGTTTAAGCAAAAGGCCGTTCTCAGCATTTTCATAAGATGCTATGCCTGAAGGAATAAAGCATGTGATAGCTTAAAGTGATGGCTTGTGTGTTATATGGGTGCTTGCAGCATGCTAAACTATCAACTAATCCTGATTTTAGTTTATAATCTTTGAAGAGCCCCACCAATGTATTGGTTATCTTGGGTGGTTAATTTAATAAACTATGGCTAAGTTAACTATGGATCCATAGAGCATAAATCATAATTCAAGAATAGCTCTTAATACTATATTTCCCTCCTTCTCTTGAAGCTTAAAAAATGAAGATGGAGAAATGTAAAATGCTTAATGCCCTAAACCTGTGCAATTGCAAGCTAAGTTGCATGGAGTTTACTCAGAGAAAAGAAGCTATAGAATGGACATCCAAAAATGATTCTGGCATGAATCATTTCCAACCAATTTTATTAAAATGCATAAGCTTTCACAAATAAAATTTGTTAGATGCTACTAGATTCTCCCTGATTTTAGCATCAGATCTGTAAACCAGCGGGGGATTTGTGTAGAATTGCTTTAAAAATGCAAGGAAATCCTTCCACATGTTGCCTAGTATTTTTTTTTTTTAAGCCACAATTTGACTCAGGCAAAATTTAATGCTTTTTGTATGTAATTTCAGTGGAAGCAATCCTGATCCTTCATATCCCCCTAAAGTCAGGTCAATAAAACACCCTCAACTCACAGTATGCCTCCCAAGCACTTGCTGAAGTGCTGAGAAGTTAGTAATTCTATCTGGATCTCAGCCCGCAAAGCTTGCAACATTTAGGCCGGTAAATCTAATCCAAAGTGCACTCCTTTTTTTCTCTCTACCAAAAGGAAATTGCAGTATCTGTGCATATGTGTGTGTGCCTATAAACTTTTCGAAGGAAAGTGGTTCTGTTTTAATTTTTTTTCCCCAGGACAGAGAAACTATTTTCTTTCTTTAATCTATTTCCACTAATTTCTCCCTTTCAAGTAAGTCTACTTTGCACTGCACACAGGGATGTGTGTTTGTGTGTTGCTATTTTTTTTTAAAAAAAGACAAATGCAGACAGAACTTGAGCAACCAACCTGGCCTGCAATTTATCGGAAGGAATTCCACCCAGAGTGTTCCAGAGTATTTCGTGGAAAGCTTCTAGAAGTCAAAAGGATGGGCTCTCCTCCTATTTTACAGATGACAAAACTGGGTCAGGACAGTGCCTTGCATAGATAGGTGATAGATGGATAGACGGACAGACAGATGATATAGTCAACCTCCTCCTTCGTAGATTGGGAAGAGCAGCCACATCTGGGCTTTGATTGCCTCTGCACCAAGCTTGAGTGGAGCAGATTTGGTTTTTAAATTGCCAGCACCCTCTTCCCCATGGTCGGGAATATCCCCGGGTGTGGACCTGGAATGAGGATCGAATGGGGGGGGGGCAGTTTCTTCCTTTTGGGAACTAAGGAAGGATCTCAGCTCGGCAACGAAGATCCCAAAAGTAGAGCAACTTAACCGGCCTCTCTCTACGGCGTATTATTGCAACGGGGCGCGGAAACTCTGCCCTTCCAATCAACGGTAGGGGTTTTAGCTAGAAAAATTGGCGAGGGAGACGAGACAAATGTCGAGATAACGGCATTTTCAGTTACGTATTTATTCCCAATGCGTGATGCTTATTCTGCGACGATAACATCAAATAATAATAATAATACAGGCTTTCCAGACCAGTATCGTTTTCCTTTGCCGCTCGCCGTCCTTTTTCCTCGGAAGGTATTGTGGGCGTAAAGGAAGCTTGAAGGTCGCTTGCGAGCCAACTCGAAGGCTTTATTATTATTATTATGCTAAATCCATTTCGCCAGGCGACGAGCGTCCCACGCCCGGGAATCGCCCAACGGGTTCCCGAAAAAAGTTCTGCTTTCTTTAGGCAGAGCTCCGGCTGGAGGAGTTTATAATTCTCCTCTGGGGAGAAGGATCAAAATAAAAGGCCAACGGCGTCGGAGGCAATGGAGAGAGAGGGGGAGGTCCAGACCATTGGCAGGGCCCCCTCCCTTCCCACGTCCAAGATTCTTCCCGGCGTCAGTGTAGAAATAAGTCTTCTGGAATTTCACCAGGGATCGGCGCCGTTTCCCCCTCTTCTCTCCCTCCCCCCACCCCCGGCTGGGAATCGGGCGTCCCCGACCCTTGCACCCGCAGAGCCGGGATTGTTGCCTGTCCAGGCAAGCGGGCCAACAGGAGCCGAACCCGGTTCCTTCCATTAGGAACCAGCAAACTGAGCAGCGGCTCGCTGCCCCGGGTCCAGAGCAAAAGAGATCCCGAAGGTGGATCGAGCTCTCCTGCCGAACGGATCCCTTTGGGTCTCCAAGGCCCCGTTTGATGCGCCACTTATATATATATATATAAAAGTGGCGCATCAAACGGGGCTATATATATATATATATATATATATATATATATATAGCCCCGTTTGATATATATATATATAGCCTTAACGTTTGATATATATATATAGCCTTAACGTAGGAGGAAGCGCTGCTCTTTGCAAGGGGATTTAAAAGAGAGGATTGCGGGACGGCGGGGAGCCCTTGAGCGGTTTCCCAGGGGCTGCACACGACAGGTTGCTTTAAAAGCACCAGATGACGATCGGGTCTCGGGAGAGGTTTTCAAGCGCCAATATTATTTAAGGAGTAGCTGAATTCGGGGGAAAAAAACAAGGGAAATAATTCGGCTTTATGTTCAATCCCCTTTGCGCTTCCTCTTCTCATTTATAGACATTTAGATGCACGATTAATTGTACCCCGATTTTTATTTAGGAGTTAGGCAGTGCGCCAGGACCAGTCTCTTCTCTTCGTTTTCCCCCCTTTTTAATTTTTTTTTTTAAAAAATCTCAATTATACGGAGAGGGGTGGCATTCACACAACTCCCTTAAGCTGGCAGCCGGTTCATCCGTTTGGCGAGTTCGCCCTCCAGATTTGCCTCCCAAGGAACCCAACGGAGAGGGCTCGCCCTACGGCTTTAAAGCCTAGCCGAGGTGAGAACCGGTAGGGGCCGCTGACCCGATTCAATGGGTCGTGTGAACGATATCGGAAGAATTCTCTCCCCCCCCCCCCCCACCAAGACATTAGCTAATCTCACTAGCCTGGCACTCTTTTATTTGGTAGGTTCAGCTTTGGGGGGGAAAATCTTTTTCCCCATGCGGCGGGAGTTGTTTCCCTTCGTTCTTGCTGGCTTTCGCGTCTCCCCCAACTTCGGTGGGGAAATCCAGCGAAGGGAGCCGCGTCCAAGGGGTTAATTTTCCTCGCCGCGCGGGGTCCAGCTGGAAGCGTGCGCCGCAGCGTGAAGCTCTCCCAGCCGGGTTGCGTGCGCGCATGGAGCGCTTGCCCCGCCCCGCTGCTAGCCATGCGTGTGAGTAGCCTTCGGGCAGGCTGGCGCTTTCCCAGGCGCGCGTGCGCGTGCGCGCTTTGGAAAGGCTCCAAAGGCCAGAGCGCGAGCGGGGCGGGGCTTCTCATGCTCACGCTAACTTCCCCATTGGCTTAGCTTTGCGCCGCCTGTCCGGGGAAAGCCGCCTTGTCCTGGGCCCTCCCTGGGGGAGGAGTTATTCTAATAAGGTGGCCATTAAGGGTGGCGGGATGGGAAAAAGAACTTCAGTGATTAAATTCTCGGGCGGACTCTCTCTCTCTCCCCCGCTATTTTGTTTATATGCCTGTCCTTAAAGCAGCTCCTTGAAGGTTGGGGAGAGAGTTCTACTTTCTCCAGCTCCCTCCTTGGATTTACCATACTTCAAGGCTGGGGTGCTTTACCTCCCCGCCCTTCGGGTTCACATCCTTATAGAATTGATTTTACTTATTATTATTTTTTTTATATATCATTTTGGGGAATACTGGACGCCATGTTGTGGAAACTAGCAGACAATGTCAAGTACGAAGAAGATTGCGAGGTGAGAGGTTAAGACTATGAATGTGGCTAGTCCTCATTGATCAGACGGGGAGGGGTGTCTCGTTGCTGCTTTGGTTATTGGCTTTGCGTTCACGTCCATGCAGAAGTTAGGAGGGGGGGGACAGATCAAAGCGAGCTTAGTGGACGGTTCCCCCGAGTTAAACCGAGCTATTGGAAGATAAAACGTTGCTCCAGATTGTATTTGGGAGTATAGTAGTAAGCTTCTAGGAGCGCTGCGTCCTGGGTATGTGTATCTGATACGGTATGGAGTTTTCTTGACATTCTTGACTTAGTAAATAATTTCAGGTGCAAGTCCTAAGCATGCTGAATTCAAGATATAGTTTAAGGAATACCTTTACGGTCCAATCGGCAATCGGGTACTCGTAAATAAGTCCCGGGGAAATCGAATGAGCCTTACCCCCGGGGGGCACGTACTTTTTAAGTGCGCTAGCTCTCAGCATCGGATCGCTGAAATGTTGAGTTTTCTGCTTTTAATTAGGTTACATCTATTAAAGCGATGCCCGCGATGCCGTTTTGACCCTGGTAAAAATGGTGATGGGGCGTCCAAATCACGATGCAACCCAGAACTTAAAAATCGGATGCGCTCTTTCCCATGTGTTGAAAAAAAGGGTTCGGTTATTTTTTTCTCTCTTTTTCATAGCTGGCGGTGGGGGTGCTCTCGACGTCCTCGGCCTTGAATGTTGGGCTCCTGCCTCTCTTTCTTGCTCCTTGTACAAGTTTCTAGACAGGGCCCCTGGTATCAGAATAAGGCTTTTTAAAAAAAAGTTTCAGCCGGACTTCACTTTAGAGGGGGAGGTACAGGATTTCCCTCGCATCCCCGCCGTCATCCGCTCAAAGGCGGCTTCGGAGTCGCCCTTTGAATTGAAAGCAGCTTGGCCCACATTTAAATAGCTGTTTGACTTCCTCCAAAAGTAAAGGGTCTCCCTTTGGCTTTTGCGTTGTATCCTTAGAGGTGGATAACGACTCCCCCCCCACCAGGAGCATCCTTCGGATCCACCTCGCGTCCGAAGGCCTTCCCCCCCCCCCCGTGCAACTTTTGTGCAGCGCCTGAGACACCGCGAGCGCCAAAAGGGCCCCCGCGAGAGTCGGGCCAGGCGCTTATTTCGCGCTGCTCGCGTGGGACCGACTGGCCGGCCTGTTACTACCGTCTTTCCCGGAGGAAGGTCGTGAAAACACGGCAAAGTGTATGCAGAAATCCTAGACTAATCAATTCCTTCTCCCTAGCGCCAGCGCGATACCAGGCTTAGGTGGCGATGGCTTTAAAGCCGTGCAAACCTGGTGGGCTGCGTTCCTACGAAAACCTTAACCCGGGTTCTTAAAAAAAAAAAAAAAAAAGATCCCGTGGGTGCGCGCGTCCCCGTACGATGCCAGGCTTCATTAAGCGTTCGCTTTCATTTGCGCGGAGTGCCGCCTGAATTTATAGCTTGTTGCTCGAAAAACGAGGGTCAGTTCAACAAGCGCGTTAAACGTCTTGTGCGAACGCAGCGTGTCCTAGCGCGCTCGGAAAGAACTGCCCTTGAACTCGACTGGGTTTACCCGTAAAGGACTATAACGACCTCCCCCCCCCCCAACTTACCCCCGGTCCCTTAAAAGGAAATCTGTTTCCTTCTTTGAAAACTTTTTCGCTCCCGCTCTGCCCCAACGCTTTCCCCCCTCGCGAGGCAGGGAAAAAGGGAAGAAAAATAATAAAAGCCTGGCTTTGCCGAGGAGCGGAAATGATTAATCCCTGCCGGCTCTTTCCACACACACGCACACACACACACAACCTCCCAATCCCGCCCCGCGGGAAATCCAGGCAAACTTTTTTTTTTTGCACGCTTCCAGGCCGAGGTGCGCGCAGGGCTCCCGGTCCTCCCACGCGGCGGGGCGGGGTGCGGGGTGGAAGCGAGGGCCCGGGCGAAAGGGAGCCTCCGAAGCCGACGCTCCAGCCTGTTGGACTGGTTCCGGCAGCGGGGAAGGGCAGGAGGAGAAAAAAGAGGCCTCGGGAAAGGCAGGAAGAAGTGGACGATCTTGGGCACGTCCGAAGGGCACCGGAGCCCTCCCCTCGGCGCCTTTAACTGTAGCACCAAGCACACCTCGGGAAAAAAGGGGTGCCCGGAGGGTTTGGAAATCCTAGCCAGGTTTGTTTCCCTTCAAGGCTCAGCAAAAAAAAAAATAAAAAAAAAATTGCCCTGGATTAGTTTTACCTCTTGTGCTCAGGTGGCTGGCTTGCTTGACAAGCCCTGACCCGTGTCCTGTTTGGGAAGGGGCGTGCCTAGGATGGACAGGACTTTCCAAAATTTCCGCTTTTGTGAACAAAAGCATCGATCTTCCTCTTTTTTCGGTGAATGGGCATTTAAGCCTTGTGAAACAAAAAAAGAATTCGGGAGTTAATCGGTATCGATTGCTCTGCAATAGAAAAGCTTTTTGATTGCAGCTTAAGCCTGGCCTTGCCCTCCCTCCCTCCCTTTTGTTTAGAATGTGTCTCCCCACCCAAGTAATTTATTTAAATTACCTGCATTCGACTGCATATTTTTATAATGTCTTCCACGACACCCCCCCCACCCCCCCACCCAGGTGGGTCTTGCAGGCCGATTTCCTGCAACTTGTTTTTAAGGATCAGATAACAGCCATACGGGGAGATTTTTGGCTTAAGCAGAAATAGTTACTGGGATGCCCGCCCCCCTTTCCTAAATGTCCCTGCCCCTCCCTATTTGAAGAACCCAAACCAGATTGCAGTCCGTCTTCCTGGCAATGGGAAAATGAAGAATCCTGGTGACTCTAAAGTGCTGAGATTACACAACAGCCTTAGTTGAAATGTGACTTAACTGGGTAGTGGGTGAATGCATTGTGTGAATGTAGACAAATGCGTAGCCATAGCAAACTATGGTTTGAGTAAGCAAGATTTAACCGTTGTGTTCTGGCAACCACTGTGTCTTGAGTAATTCTCCTCCAAGGTATATTTTCCAACGAAATGATGAGCCTTTTGCTTGATTAGGAATACATATTTTAAGATCACAATGATTGTATTGGCACAACACGCTTACCCAGGAAGATAAAGGCATGCCAGATGTATTTGTAGAACATTAGTTGATTAGTTTTTTATTGTTTTAACGTGTGAGTGTGAGTCTAATATATGTTTGGTCAGTTTGTGGTTCAGTTTGTGCTTCTGTTTGCATTTAGACACTTGAGGATTTCACAGGCTGAGCAGGGACATTTCTGATTTCTACAGTGTTTGGGAGTAAGCCAATAGGTTTTGGTAGAGCTCCTTGCTAAGTAAATTGGGCACAAGGTTGCAACCTCAAGTAAATTGGGGGATCCCTTTTAGATCCTAAATTCACTTTTCTTTAGGGATTACAGGAAAAAAAAATGCCCTGGCAAGGGAAGGATGCATGACGCAAAACAAAACAAAAAAAAAAGAAGAAAAATTAAAGATCTGGAATCAAATTTAATACAGTTGGAAACAAGGCTGAGAATCAGTATAGAGACAAATCTTTAATATTTAATAATTAAAGGTGCAAGGAGACTGAGAAGTCACCCCTCCAGGGTAGAGGCTGTCTGGTAACAGGCCAAGCGAAGAAGCATCCCTGGTTTTTTTTTTTAAAAAAAGCGGATTAGCTCATCTTTGTTAGGCTGTGAATTACTTTTTTCTTTGTTTTAACATCTTTAGTGGAATTAAATTAACAAGTCAGAGAACCTCAACTGCAGCATAAGTCTAAATATGGCTGAGACAGGTTGGCTGAGTTTTATTTACCCCTAGGAATCCTCCTGGCCTCTTAACAAGACTTCTGGGCCTCTAGAGCTGGCTGCCCAGTGCCAGGACAGGAAGACTAAGACTACTTTGAGGGGTAGAAGATAAACCAAATTTATTTGGGGGGGGGGGAGGAGAGGAAAGAGACCTTTCTTATCCAAAGAAAATAGAAAATAATGTAAACTTCTTTCAGACTTTCTCTAGGTTGACATGCAATTGGGGGACAATCTGGGGTAGAAGATAAACCAAATTTATTTGGGGGGAAGGAGAGGAAAGAGACCTTTCCTATCCAAAGAAAATAGAAAATAATGTAAACTTCTTTCAGACTTTCTCTAGGTTGACATGCAATTGGAGACAATCTGGGGCTTCTTGGGAAAGGGGACTTCCAACATCATTCATTCATAGCAACCTTAAACCTGCCTCCTCCCACTGCCCTATAGTTAATCTGTTAGAAGCACTTTTCCCTCTTGCTTCCCATTTCCAGTTTTCCTTTGATTTTCCCTGGGTTTTTTTTAAAGGAAAGAAGCTGTATAATTCCCAGTGGCCCAGCATTGAGATGTTATGCTAGTTGCGGTTTTAACACTTAGTTTCAACTAATTCCGTAATCAGTGATTGGTAACCTGCAGTAGCCTTGAAGATATGTACAATCCAACGGGTTTGGTTTCAAAGTGCATGCCTTATTTTTAAAAAGGAATCCTCTGAATGCCAGTAAACTATTGCTACAGTATTAATATTAGTAATTACACACACGCACAAACAGAGGAATCTTTATATAGTTCCATGTCAGATATCCTGGCTAATAAGTTAATTAACTTTTCGATTGCTAAAAGGATGCTTGGTGTTTCATGCAGCAATAAGTGGGCAAAAGGGATGGTTGTTAATTTAGATGCATAATTTTGTAAATTCGTGGTACATTAAGAACTGATAGCATTTCTTTAAAAAATAAAACAACTTGGAAGTTGTGATTATATTTTTGGAGGGAGACCGAGATTTGATCCCAGTATCTGTAGAATCAATGGCAAAATTATTGAACTTCTTGGACACAATGGTACTTAAATTCTGATTAATCAAGTATATGGTTAAATTGCAAGCCAAATATTTCAGGATAATATACGTACGTTTCTGAATATCTATCTGCCAGAGATTGAGGGCCACATATCGGGATCCCAGGATCCTGCATTCTCTATAGCAGTATCTGCTCTCTGGAATGAAATGCTCGGGATCTCATTCTCTGAAATAAAATTTAAAGGACTTCCATTCTGCTAGGATTTTAAAGGACCTTAAAGATCTGGCTGTTTGCCTAGATCTTTAGAAAGGACAATTGATGCCTCCTTTTTGCTTTCAGTTCTAATGAGTTTTATTTTCTTTGCTATCTTTGTGCCTTTCTCTTGTGCTGTTTTCACATTTTTTTATATTCTGTGTTTTTTTAAATGTTTTAACAATTGTAAACCACTGGGAGTCAGGTAGCATCTACATTTAATAAAATTAGTGAACTGCCTAGAGTCATCATATGAGATAGGTGATCAGTATGACTTGTAAATCAATAAATCAAACAAACAATGCTGTAAATTGTTTCCCCCCCATTTATTACAGAGTGGTTTGTTATTATGTTTGTGTATGAGGTATTAGATTTTTTTTCCACTTGACTGGCCCCAAAATATATTAGCTGAAAATAAAACTTGGTGTTAATTGGTTTGCAATTTGTTGCATTTAAGCTTAAAACAGCAGGTTCATGAGTCTAATTAACTGATCTCTGCCACATTTGATTACAAATCCCCATCCCAAGCAGTATGAGGGTGCTGTCTTTATTTAAACTGTTTAATCCACAGCAAATGCACTTATTTTAAGGGGAAAAATACAGGAATTAGTTGAAAGTGTGAGGTCATATAGTTCTGCAGTCCAATCTCATGAACTGCAGAGTGCTTGTTTTTGTCATATTGGAGGCTATGTCCAGTTGGAGTCCTTGAAGATTGAAGCTAAATAAATGTTTGGGTAGTAATTTTCCTGAGAAAGTGAAAGAAAGAGGAAAGAAAGAAAAGAAAAAAAAGAAAAGGAAAGAAAGAAAGAAAGAAAGAAAGAAAAAGAAAGAAAGAAAAAGAAAGAAAGACCAATGGGGCTTAATTTCCCAATGTCGCCCATCAAACAGTGCATGGCAGCAGTTTGCAGGTCTTCCTCCAGTTTGAGAATTTCACTAACTGGGTTGCATGTGGTTTCTTCTCAGGACCGGCACGATGGAAGCAGCAACGGGAATCCCAGGTTGCCTCACCTCTCCGCTGTCAGCCAGCACCTCTATAGCCCAGCTCCCCCTCTTTCTCACTCGGGGACCTCCGATTTCCAGCCACCTTACTTCCCTCCCCCCTACCAGCCTTTGCCTTACTCCCAGTCCAGTGATCCTTACTCACACCTCGGGGATCCTTTTTCTATCAATCCACTTCATCAGCCGCCACCACCTCCTCCCAGCCAGCAGCAAACCAGCTGGCCCAGCCGTCAGAGCAACCAAGACCATTCCGGTTTATCCCACCATGCCCGATCAGGCTTGATGCCTCATCTCCCAGCTCTGGAAAGCGGCTCCCTTGGGACAAGAAGGGACACCTACAGGCGATCTGAGCTGCTCCTGTCCCACGGCCATGGGCTCGATGCTTCCAGCCTGGCGGAGAACTTAGGACTGCATGACATGGCCCACCAGATGGAAGAGGTCCAGGTAACAATTCTGGGGTCAAAATAAAATGCCATGAATGGGGAGGATGGTACAGCAACTTTTGTTAATGTGGGGTCCTTGGTGCTCCCTTAGCTTGGTGGTTTACTGGCAGACATTTCATTGCCCAAATTAGGTAACATCATCAGTGCTGCTAATGTTACTTAGTCTGGGTAATGAAACATCTGCAAGAAAAACGACCAAGCTCAGAGAGCACCAAGGATCCCTTATTTCAACCCTGAGCTACAAATATTCTTTATCAACTTTTGCTCTAATAGCTTGGTCAAACCTGGGCTATCTTACTAAAGAAACCTTTACAGGTAGTCCTCGAATTACAATTATTCGTTTAGTGACTCTTTAAAGTTACAATTGCACTGGAAAAAAAATGTCCATTTTCCCCACGTACGACCTTTGCAGCATCCCCATGGTCACGTGATCAAAGATGCTTTGATGCTTTCAGATGCTTGGCTACTGGTTCATGTTTATGACGGTCGCAGTGTCCCCGGGGTCATGTGATTGCCTTTTGCGACCTTCTGACAAGCAAAGTCAACGGGGAAGCCCGATTGGCTTAACAACCATGTTAAACTAATTTAACAACTGCAGCGATTCACTTAACAACTGTGGCAAGAAAGTTTGTAAAAGTGGGTCAAAACTCACTTAGCAACAATTTTTTTTAGCTCAATTGTATAGTTGTAAGTCGAGGACTAGTTGTATTGGGAGAGGTTGAAATTCCCAGTTCTGGATTAACTTGCGTTCAACAAGAGACCCCTTGAGTCCTTCTGAACCCTGCCCAGAATTGAGCATTATACCCTCAACTTTGAGAAAATAGGTGCTGGTGTTTTTTACTTAATTGTTTAGCACTTGATTATATCATTTGTGTTCACGTTCATCCACTAATTTTGCCTTCATGGTGATGGATCTAGATCAGGGGTAGGCAACCTTGGCTCTTTTATGACTCGTGGACTTCAACTCCCAGAATTCCTGAGCCAGCTGGCTCAGGAATTCTGGGAGTTGAAGTCCACGAGTCATAAAAGAGCCAAGGTTGCCTACCCCTGATCTAGAGTGAACAGATTAATACATGAAGATGTATACAGTCAGTGCAGTAACGTTAAATCTAAAATAAAGGGTGGGGTTGGGCAGCAACAAAGGATCCACTCTTGAGAATTTTATGCTCATAAAATTGCAAGGAAGTGGAAAGGGTTGCAAGCATTTTCTGTTCACTGAGAAAATGCTGGTAGAATGGACGGTTTTGTTCAGCCCAGCCACGTATGCTTATTTTCTTTATATACGAAAATCTGTATGAGAAGCCAGGTATGGGTGAATCAAGTTTTAAACTGATCATTACTTCACCCTGAAGTGTGTATAACTCGGGCATGAAAGAGGCATTGCACAAACACAGAGGTGTGAGAATCTGTCTTTCCTCCATTGCTTCATAACCTGTGCAATCCTATTTATTGAACAATCCTACAGCAATGACATGGCTACCTTGCTGCCTGTGCTTCGTCATTCCAAGGAACAGAACTTGATGTGCTAACATTGCTTTCTCTAACCTGATGTTCTCCAGCTGTTCTTAATCAGTTCCCGGCCAACAATGGCCAATAGCATTCCATATTTGCAAGCCATCAGGTTGGGGAAGGCAATAGCAAAGAGCATTTTATTTTTATTTATTTTTTCCCCATTTGCATCCTGCCTTCTTGGTCAACCAAACAGCCAAAGTGGTTCATTTCATTTGTACAGAAATCCTCCATGCCGGAAGGGAAGTTAGCTAAGTGAGTCCATTTATTCAGATTTGGCTCCAAAATAAAACTGCCTCACTGATTGCAGATTTTAACCAGTGGGATAGAAGGCCTGCATTGTTAACAAGCTGTTCTTTTGCTCAGTCTCAAAGAATGACATTCTAATAGTCTTGTAGTAGTTTTGTAGCTTGCTCCCAAAATTGTTGGTCTTTCATTTCATGGTTAGGTCACATTTTTTGGTGTCCCTGTGAGTCAGGTTTTGACTCCTGATGACCGCATTGAGAGGTCTCTGCAGTTTTCATGAGAAGGATTTTCACCAGTGGTTTGCCACTGTCTTTCCCCCAAGACTTGAGAGAGAATGAGTGGCTCAAGGTCACTCAGCTGGTTTTGTGCCTAAGGCAAGGTTGGAACTCCTGGTCCCCCAATTTTTAATCGGATGTCTTAACCTCTACACCAAACTAGTTCAGGTCATGTAGAATAATTCTCTGAAAATAAATACAGGTTGTCCTCAATTTACAACAGTTCATTTAGTGAACGTTTGAAGTTACAATGACACTGAAAAAAGTGACTTCTGACTGTTTTTTCACAGGACCGTTGTGGCATCCCAGTGGTCATGTGATCAAAATTCAGAGGCTTGTCAACTGACTCATACTTACGATGGTTGCAGTGTCCTGAGGACATGTGATCGCCCTTTGTGACCTTTTGACAAGCAAAGTCAATGGGGAAGCCAGATTCACTTAACAACCACGTCACTAACTTAACAACTGCAGTGATTCACTTAACAAATGTGGCAAGAAAGGTCATGAAGTGGGGCAAAGTTCACTCAACAAATGTCTCGCTTAGCAACAGAAACTTTTGGGGCTCAGTTGTGGTTGTAAAACGAGAACTACCTGTAGACCAGAGATAAAAAAGCCCAACTGCTCAGATGTTGGTGTAATTCATCCACAGTGCTCATCCTCCTGATTAATTTTGCCACTAGGTGTGTGATCCCTTCCCTTGTCATTTGTAAATCAGTTTGTGTTGGGGATATATTCACACATCACACCTGGTCTCAAGCAGGCCAACCATATGCTAGCTTAACACGATGATATGAACCACTTTTTCCTGAACTATTTTGAGGTCAGCTTGAAAATGTTCTGAGTTATGAAATGGAAATGGAGAACCACAGATTCTGTGTTTGTGCACACCAGCATCCTAAAATGCCTCAGTCGTGAATGAACTTCCTCACTTGTTTACCTGGGGATTTAAGTAGATCCATGAATGCAGTAGATCATAATTCTAAATATGCACAGGAATGTAGGCAGCATGTTTACTGAAAAGTAAAGCCGCTGGCTCGCTTCCTTGAATAATAAGCTGACAGGCACTGGAACTTTGTATGATTGTACATCCCATTGATCTCAGCACGATTTCAAGCAGGTTACTTTTTGTTGGTTGGGTTGGCCTGTTTAGATGTCCATTAAAATTTTTTGCTATAAAGTTTTGTGTCTTTTGCTAAAAACAATTAGGGGAATATGTTAATGAAATATGTTTGTATATTGGGTGGGGAAGCGGGCACAAATTGTATTCCACAACTGTATTCTTAAAAAAAAATTTCACATTCTCTCTCCAGAATGTGGAAGATCAGCACTTATTAATGCATGACCAGACAGTCATTAGAAAAGGTCAGTAAGTTTACATTCTGCTGGTTTGTTTTCTTTTGTCTTTTATAGGATGGTATTTTCACTCATAAAACTTTTTAGGAGTTTCAGATTTGCCTTTATGTTCCTTTTTGAAAAGAGACTTTGTTTAAAACAACAACAAACAACTAAAGTATAAAAAAGTAAGATTCTCCCCCCCTCTCCCTCCAGCCATCAAGTTTTTTATATGAGCGGTCATATATACCCACGGATATATATATATATACATATATTTCTGAAAAGATGAACATGAATACTTATTTATAAACAAATATTTTACAAATCTACAAATTTTAAAAAAGTATCTACACCCTAGATCTTGGCTTAATACAACGGATTTAAAATGGGTTAAGTTTCCTTCTGAAGACCTTATAGCAATTCCTTGAATGTTATGCTTTGGGTTACAATATATAATGTGCAATTTTGGAGAATGAGTTCTGTTTGTTAAAATTTGCTGTTATTATCCATTCGTTGGTAGTTATAGATGTCTTAGAAGGAAAAAAAAATCCTTCATCTTCTAAGAGGTGGGGAGAGAAATGAAAACTCTCAAGAATAATAGAAATATTTCTTTGAGGATAGCGATCTCTCTCTTTTGCATTATTACTTGTGTTTAACGTGGGCAAATCAATGAAGAAATGTTCCTGCTGCAACTAAACACTTTGGCCTTGGCCTCAACATTTAATTTGAGTGGGTTTCTGTTCGATATTAAAAAGAGAGGTCTCTGTTTGGTTAGATATGTGGTAGCCTTCCCTGTAGGGGCCCTCTGTGCCACAGCAGCCATTTATATGTGCTTATCCGTGAACAGCTCTAATTTAATATGAATTTACGGGGCTGTTGTATATCCAATCACAAGCTTCTACCGGTGATATTTATAAGGTTGAGGTGCAGATCCATGGTGGAGAAACTGCACAGACCTTTCCCTTTTTTTTGTTGCACAATTCACACACCCCTAAAGTTTTTAGAATAAATATATAAATCAAAGGATGATTTTGTCTGTAACTTAAAACTGACAGGAGGGAAAATGTGTCTGAGAGGAACCAGAAATGTTTTGTTGTCAACTCATAGCTGATTTGAGAATTAGCTCATAGTATAACAATTTTTCTGCTGTCTGTTTCACCTGCTTTTCAGAAATCTTCCTCCTTTGATAAATAAAGTGTCTGGCTTAGCGCTTTAACCCCTTCTTCTCCTGCCCGCTCCAACTCAAAATATTCCTGGAGAAGAGCTCAGGTTTCAGTTTTTGTTAGAATGTAACTGCCAGTTGAACATACTTTAACACAAATACACATCTGCTGATTTGTGCTTTCTGTGTTTTAATTTTCATAAAGTCAAGATGCCACTCCAGGAACTAAAGTCAGGAAAAAAAGCATTCATTTCTTAAATGGAACGAACTCAAGAACATTATTATTATTATTATTATTATTATTATTATTATTATTATTGTTGTTGTTGTTGTTGTTGTTGTTGTTGTTGTTGTTGTTGTTGTTGTTGTTACCAAATTTATTTGCTGCCCATGTTGCAGTTCTGCAGTATGCAGTAATATGACAGCAATTTTGTCATAGAATTGTTAGCTTAGAAAAAGCTACAGTCTTGTCTACATTTTATCCATGGCCTATGGATTTCAGGGCAAAAAGAGGACTTTAACTTAAAATTCTTCTTGGCTGGATTGTAGACTATTGTTCTTAATTGTTAGAACAATAGATTATATCAGCATAATTGGGAAGGCACTTAAGCAATGGAGTCCAAATACTTTGTTAAATAATAAAAGAACAATCTTTTTATATAACTGCTTCAGGTGTCTTCAAGTAATAAGTGGATCCTTGTCTGCCCTTTTCACATAAGGCCAGGAATGCTCTTTAATTGTTTAGAAAAAAAATTGGATTCATTATGGAAGGCCACCTTCAATCTGGTGCCTATAAGTCTTCAGATACCATAATCCCTAGCTATCAGACACAGAATGACTGGGGATTATGGTAAATAAAGTACAGCTCACCAGGACATTGGGTTGTGGGAGGTATTACCTCAGGCATCCTTATGTTAAACATTTAGACTTCCCAGAAAAGAAAAAAGACGGGAGAAACACTCCATCGTAGTTTGTTTGTTTTTGTATATTTTGGCTCTCCAGGTCCCATTTCACTAACGAAAAACAATGCATTAGGTCTCCCTTGCCAGAAAGATGGACTTCTGGGTGTAGTGATCAATCCCAACGAAGTGTTCTGCTCTGTTCCTGGACGGCTTTCTCTCCTCAGTTCAACATCGAAATATAAAGTGACGGTGGCTGAGGTTCAGCGAAGACTATCTCCTCCTGAATGTCTGAATGCGTCTTTGCTGGGAGGAGTCCTCCGAAGGTAAGCACATCATTCCTCGGCTATCTCTCCCCTCCCCACCCCTCCTGGGTCAAATCATGTCCTGTCAAGGGGGCTTCCTTGTGTCCTGTGGAACTGAATGGCCTGTGGAACAGAATAGCTTCTTGTCTCTTCTGGTTGTGAATCTTGCAAACAGGAGATAAAACACTGCATCCTAATAGAGTTTATTTTGAAGCCTCTTGCCTTCACACTCTTTTTTCCCCTCCTTGGCACCCTTTTGCCTTTCCAGAATTGAAAAGTGCCATAACAGGATTTTATTGTGCGTTCTCTTTTCCTGTTAACAGACTCTCTCTATCCCACCCCCACCCCCACCCCAACATTGCAAAAAAGAAATAATTGAAAAGGACGTCAGTCTAATGTTAAAAAGGTGTGAAAGAGAAATACATGGATTATTTTAGAACAACACCATTTCCAAATTGTATTAAGACGTTGATTGAGAAAAACATAGCCAAGTCTGATTTATTCCAGGGTGTTTTGAGGTTCAGAAATGGACAGGTGAAGCTCATCATCATCATTCCAGAGAATGTTTATTGTCTGTTCGAACGTTGATGGGGCTGCCAAAAGTAGAATTGCTGAGGCTCACATTCAGAAGCTACCAGCTGTAATTTTGAAGGACAAAGAAAAGTTGTTCTTCAGTTAAGTTTAAATCATGGGGATTCCTTGGCCGTGCCCATGTTATTTTTTTCTGCAACAGTGTGGAAGCAATTGGCCGCCACTTATAGGAGAAGAACAAGCAGAGCTGGGGGGTGGAGTTAAACACATCATCAGTTTAGAGTCATTGTGTTGCCACAAGAGATCCAAGTACAGCCCCACTTGAATTCCGTTGACCCTTATATAGTGTCAATTGAATGTTGAGCTCTAGTTGACTGGATTCTTGTGTATAGGCTTGAATAAATATTGTATGCTGCAACCTTGCAAATAGTTCCAATTTTATAATTCTTATCTAGTTTATAGCACTGAGATATGCTAGTGGTATTCCATCCAAACACTGAGCATAACTAATACTTTTTAGCTTTAGAGGGATCAGTAGAAATTGAGTATGTAATCAGCTACTCATTCCCCACCCAAGTAATCACAGGGATATGCTGCCAACATATCTGGGGGAAGTGATCCCAAGAAGAGGTGAGATTCCAAGCACACCTACTTTAAAGTGGGGGTGCCCAGGGCTTTCAGGCAATGCCCCAAATTTTTGATATAGGAAGATAGGGAAAGTCTAAAGCACTTCCTTTAATGGTATTTAATGCAGATTAATAGAATGTACTTTTTTTTGTCTTGAGTGCAATGTCACTCAGAACCCAGTGTTTAGTCTTGAGTTGAAAGCCATGTGCTTTATATTAATTTAGGGTTGCTTTTTAATAGGCCTTATCCAAATAAAGAAACACATCACCACAAGAGAAGAATACAAATTGCCCTAGTAGTTGTATCTCCTAATTAATAACTGTATAGGGAAACAAATGTGGGAGTTATCATAACATGAATACAATCCATCTCACCATAATGAGGAAGAATGTCTGAGATTTCAGTGTGTTAGCTGAGTCTTCAGCTTTTGATAGGAAATTTCGGCTTTCTTTCTTTCTTTCTTTCTTTCTTTCTTTCTTTCTTTCTTTCTTTCTTTCTTTCTTTCTTTTTTAATTCTGGGTTGAAACTGAATTCAGATTGTGTGATGCTTCATCAAGATTATGAACTATGAGCTACCAGTTCTTGAACTCAAAGCTTGTTCTGCGTGTAGAAGGATTCATATCCACCCTACCTTTGTAAATAACATTCACATTAAGCAGTTCTGTTCAGCAATTCGCCAGAATTGTTTACTGTGCTTTAAAACACAACCTCACAACTTTTATAAGATGGGCGGACTTCCAACTCCCAGAATTCTAGCCAGCATGCTTAAGTTACTGAGACTGAGAAACACCGCTTTTAGAGAATTGCTAATATACAGCCTAATTTTCAGAAATTGAGGGAATGTGCTCAATTCTCTCCATCCTTCTCAAATGCCATTTATAGTAGTGGAAGTACAGTGGACTTTACATCCTAGATTAAAAAAAAAAATCAAGGCTGCATTTAATATCCATGTACGGGTACTGCCACAACAAAGTTTGTTTGATGCTCTTTGTGTTTGCAAAAGGTTTTAATTTTCGTTGTGTCGGTCATCATGATTGTAATGATGCTTGATAGTGTAAACGCAGAGGCAAAGCGTATCCTTCTCTTCCTCCCCCTTCCCTTTTCATCTTGCTTTCTGATGTTCATGTGATGGAACATTCAAAAGTAGGTCAGCTCTTCTCACAGTCCTCTCTTCCCTCCCCCCATCGGCAGAAGTGTATTGAATGTCAGCAACTTGTATTTCCCAATTGCTTCAAAATGTGACCTCTTCAACGATGCATCTAAACATCGCCCATCCCTCTTCTCTCATCCGCAGAGCCAAATCTAAAAATGGGGGCCGGTCACTAAGGGAGAAGCTGGACAAAATTGGCTTGAACCTTCCTGCGGGCAGAAGGAAAGCTGCAAATGTGACATTACTTACATCGTTGGTGGAAGGTCAGTTGGTCTTCTCTCCTAAAGTTTTTTCTGGGTTAAAGGGCAAAGCGAGCAATTTGTGTTCGCCAATCAAGTTGTCTTCCGAAAGGATAAGTCGAAGGATAAGTCGATAAGGAGACGAAAATGTCCTTGTGGTAAGAGCTGTTCAGTTTTGGATCCATGAGATGCGACGGGCTTCTTATTAAAATAGAGTTTGGGCAGATTGGAGATGTTTCAGTTTAAAGTTCTGCCTGAATACAAGTAGCCTTGACTTATGATCACAATTGAGCTCACTTAGAGTTGTTAAGTGAGTTTTGCCCTATTTTATGACCTTTCTTACCACAGTTATTAAGTGGATCACTGCAGTTAAGTTTGTAACATGGTTGTTACGTCTATCTGCTTCTCTATTGACTTTGCTTGTCAGAACGTCACAAAAGGTGATCAAGTGACCCCGGGATGCTTCAGCCATCATAAATATGATGCCAAGCATCTTGGATTTTGATCATGTGACCATGGGGGAATGCTGTGAGAAATGGCCAGTGCTATTGTAACTTCGAACACTAAACAAATAGTTGTAAGTCGAGGACTACCTGTAAGAGGTTGGACTTGAACGTCTGTCTGCACCCTGGTGGCCTCTTTTTTATTATTCCAAAATGCTTTTTGTAGCTAGATCATGTATTCACTGCAGAGCTGTAGGTGAAGATGTTAATGCTCAAAACTAGAAGTGGGGAGGGAGGAATGAAGGATATGTTGGGGCATAACCTTGGAGGATAAACATCCTTGTTATGGATGGTATGTTTGTGTAAAAAAGTTTTGGATTAGAAGTTTTTATAGACACTGTAAAATTGGCATTTAATTTACCGCCAAGGCAGTAAAAATTGTCAATTTTTTAAAGTGCATAATGTAGATTGTGGTGAAATTTGTTCATTGAAGTCTCAGAGATGTCCCACTTTAGATGTGATCAGAAGCTTTGAATATCACTCTTCTCCTTCCCATTAACATTGCCAGTTATTTTTTTTACCTTTCCCATGTTTGTCAGTCTGACTCCAGTTAAAAAACTATTGTTTGTTTCATTATGGGTAGATGAGGATAGATATTTTCTGCAGAAATGGCTGATTCAGAGAATCAGCTTGTCTTTCTCATCCATTGCATGAATTTAAGAACATTTCCATTCTTTGATTACTGTGTTTCTTGGGATACTTTCATGTGTGCTAACAAGCAGCTAAGAATTCATTGTCCGATTTCTTAAAGAATTCCTTATAAAGCTGCACTGAGTAAAACAGCTAAAAACAACCTATAAAAAGCTGAGAAGAAAGATTGGCAAGGACTGATAAGGGTTCAAAGCAATAGTAAATAGAGAAGAACTTAAACCAGAGATTTTGGATTGCTAAATCAGAAAGATAAATTGCAACAATGCAAGTTTGTCAGTGGAATTCTAAAACCACCTTTTAAAACAAAAACTAACATTTTCTGTATTCTAAACAAACTATAAACATATGAGCTAGAGATATATGAATATTGCAAGCCGCCCAGAACCTTTTTGGAGTCGGGCAGCCTTAAAATCCATTAAATTAGGTTAAATTAAATTAGAAATATTTATTGTGCAATGAGTTCATTGTACAAGGGATTAGGACTGATATGTCTCCTTTCATATACCAAATGTGCAGCATGGCAAATTTGCTATGTTTAATATGAGCTGGACTGTCTGTTGTTTTCCGCTTTTCGTTTTTTAAAACTCTGCAGTACTCAGAACTCCCATACAATGCCCTAAAACAGGGGTCTTCAAACTTGGCAACTTTAAGACTTGTGGACTTCAACTTCCAGAATTCCTCAGCCAGCCGTAGCTGGCTGAGGAATTCTGGGAGTTGAAGTCCACAAGTCTTAAAGTTGCCAAGTTTGAAGACCCCTGCCCTAAAACAATGAACTATAAATGGTCATATGAATACAAGTAATAGAGCCAATGTTCACTTAACAAATTAACATTAATATATTAATAAGAACAGTTTCAATCGAGGAGGACATACTTCTACCACCAGTAACTTTCAGAGTGAAATCAAATCTCTGAATCAAGCTTGACTCCTCATGACGTCATGCATACAACCACACAGTTTTCTTGTCAATAGCAGATAAGTGGTTTGCTATTGCTTTCTGGGAATCTAGGATCTAGCCTAGAACTTAGGTCTTCCCAGAAGTGTCCCCTCCAAATATTAACCAACCGGAATCTTGCTTAGCTTGACCACAGAATACAGTCATTCCAGAAATCAATGTTTTCAGAACTCCACTGATGAAGAAGGTTTGTTCTCTGCTGTTGCAGAAGGTAGAGGAAAAACCAGAAGGAGAGGCAGCAGATTTCAGCTAAAACTCTTAGGAGAAACCCTCAAACTGTAGGATCAATTGGCAGCAAAAAAGAGCAGTGTCTTCCTTGGCTTAAGGTACTTCTGGCTGGTTGGTTGTTAGGGATATTTGCGCAGCAAGTGAGTTGAATGACGTCTAAGATCCCTTCTAATGTTGTTTTATTTTGATGGGTGATGGAAAATAAGAGAGATGCTGTAACCAAAAACAAAAGTAGAGGATCTTTAAATACAAAGAATATTTAATGATAGTTATGTCTGTTTAGAAACGGAATGTATTTTCTAAGCCTGTTAAGCTGAGTAGCAAAATATAATGAGTTTCGTGTTTCAAACCTTTTGACTCTCAACCTTTCCTGTAATTCCCATATGATAGTTGGGAGACTTGGAATGAAAGGTAAAATTAGCACAAGGCCTACTTCTGTTGAAAATAAGCATATAATTGGATGTGAAATTTGTCATACGTATGTCAATAGGCAACCTTTGCTACTGCAGTCAAAATGACAAATTCACATGGGTAAATCAGTTATTATTTCCAAGGAAGAACATGCATGTTTACAGGCAGAGCAGTTGCATCCCACAAGTTTTTGCTGAACTGCTTTATCAAATGGGCTGTCGGGATGAAATATAGATCTATTAAAAGCGAATAGTTGCCTTCCTGAGTATATTGATGGGAATGTCCTCAAATTTGGGATAAGTGTGTTTTGACTTAAAACTGCCGACATTGTGAGAGGTGACACTCGTACAGGCAGGAGCAGTCAGTGGAAATTCATTTGCTGCTTCGCTTATAAATATCCTGGCTGCTTGTGCTAATTCATGCTAATTATTGCCAGGAAAATATTTTTGCAGTTGTTTTACATTTTGCAAAAACAGACTGGAGCAGATGACATTATAGGATGAGAAATATTTGTATGGTGGGACTCAAATGTGACCTACTTTAAGTTAGACTATTATCTTGTCAAGGTCCTGACCCTTACTTATAATGAAAGTATAATATTGCCTATTGTTTTAAATCCTCCTTCTCCTACCTGGTCTCTTCCAGATGTGTGGGGTTTTAATTTTCCTAATGGCCAAATAGCAAAGTCATCAGTTTTTATTGACTGGCTGTCCTATGTGCAACACATGTCAGAAAAGCATTATTCTGGGGAAGGTAGTTTCTTGCTCCCCCCTTTTAAAAAACTTAACTCAAATGGTGCTTTTATAAATTATAAGGTGGGGAGAAAAATAATCTTGTTAAACATATGGGCTGGTTCTGACAGTGGCAAATATTGTTCATCTGTTTGTCTGCAAACAGTTATTTAAATGGGTGTGATCTAATAAGCAAATTCTTGCTTTTTTCCTTCTTTTTCCCCTTCTGTGGTCCACTTGCAGGGGAAGCTGTCCATCTTGCCCGGGATTTTGGTTATGTGTGTGAAACTGAATTCCCCTCAAAAGCTGTGGCTGAATATTTAACTCGGCCCCATCTGGGCCGGAATGAGATGTCCAGCAGGAAAAATATGCTCCTTGCCGCAAAGTAAGTATCTTTATTTGAGTGGAAAGCAATATGTAAGATTTATAGAATATATTAAAGTGCTTAGAAGGCTCAAGCAGTACAGGGAGTCCCCAACCTACCACCACAACTGAGTTGTAAATTTTCCATTGCTAAAAAGTCAGTTGTTAAGTAAGTCATGCCCAATTTTACCATTTTTTTCGCCACGGTCTTTAAGTGAATCATTGCAGTTGTTAAGTGATTCGTGCAGTTGTTAAGCTTTAACCTTGACTTTGCTTGTCAGAAGCCAGCTGGGAAGGTCACAAATGGTGATCACGTGACTCCAGGATACTGCAACCAGCATAAATACATGCTGCTTGTAAGCTCCCAAATTTCGATCACATGACTGTGGGGATGCTGCAATGATCCTAAGTGCCAGGACTGGTTATAAGTTACTTTGTTCAGTGTGGTTGTAACCTCAGATGGTCACTAAAGGAATGGTTGTAAGTTGAGGACTACCTATAAACCCCACCAACAGGAGCAGGCAAAAGATGAGCTTTAATTAGTTCCTGTGGAAATGGTGTCAAGAGTGAGGAGCGATAGAGGCTGGATTGGAGCTTATTGTCAATGTGGGCAGAGACTGGATTTTTAAATTACGAGAAGATTGCATTCTCCTTTTTAAAGCCACATTAAGTTGGTTTTTAAGCTTACAATACAGTTTATATGGGTTTCTAACCTTCAATGGTATTATTATTATTATTATTATTATTATTATTACTATTACTATTATTACTATTATTATTATTATTATTATTATTATTATTATTATTTTGTTGTTAGTTGCGAAGTCGTGTCTGACCCATCGCGACCCTATGGACAACGTTCCTCCAGGCCTTCCTGTCCTCTACCATCTTCTGGAGTCCATTTAAGCTCACGCCTACTGCTTCAGTGATTCCATCCAGCCACCTCATTCTCTGTCGTCCCCTTCTTCTATTGCCCTCAATCTTTCCCAGCATTAAGGTCTTTTCCAGTGAGTCCTTCCTTCTCATTAGGTGGCCAAAGTACTTGAGTTTCACCTTCAGGATCTGGCCTTCTAAAGAGCAGTCAGGGTTGATCTCCTCTAAGACTGACCGGTTTGATTGCCTTGCAGTCCAGGGGACTTGCAGGAGTCTTCTCCAGCACCATAGTTCAAAGGCCTCAATTCTTTGTCGCTCAGCCTTTCTTATGGTCCAACTTTCACAGCCATACATTGCAACTGGGAAAACCATGGCCTTGACTTTTGTTGGCAGGATGTCTCTGCTTTTTAGTATGCTGTCTAGATTTGCCATAGCTTTCCTCCCCAGGAGCAAGAGTCTTTTAATTTCTTGGCTGCAGTCCCCATCTGTGGTGATCTTGGAGCCCAGGAAGATAAAATCTCTCACTACCTCCATTTCTTGTAATAATAATAATATAGAGTTGGAAGGGACCTTGGAGGTCTTCTAGTCTAGATGCAGATTCTTTTCTTGCCTTACAAAGATGCATCTTGTAGAGTTTAGTGAAGAGAATCAGGATTTAAATCAGATACTAGCATTATAAATTAGGATCTTAAGAGCCACGGTGACGCACTAGGTAGAATACAGTATTGCAATTTTTCACTCTTAACTCTGCCCATTGCCAGGAGTTCGATGCTGACCAACTCAAGGTTGACTCAGCCTTCCATCCTTCTGAGGTTGATAAAAAGAGGACCCAGATTGTTGGGGGTAATATCCCGATTCTGTAAACCACTTGGAGAGTCCTATATAGCACCTTAAAGCAGTATATAATTCTTAAGTGCTATTGTTATCTTGTACAAGAACATTCTTATTTGTTTGTATTTAATGACTTCCTGTTTTTATCACCTGGACTAAAAATCAAGGACTACCTCTGTATGGCTTAGGGGTCTTATTTTCAATGGGTTTGTGTGGCTATAGAAAAGTTGCCCTTTTAAAATAGTGCTTAAAGGCAGGAACACCTTTAATTTTAATAATGCTTGCAGGTCTCTTCAAAAATGAATATTTGCAGGTTCAAAATGCATTTGCATTATAGCAGAGATGAAACCTGTGGGGTATTCAAACTTAAACAGAAACAGTCAAAGCATTTTAAGAATGTCTAACGAGTTATCTCCTATTTTTGCAAGTTTGCAAGCTAGTTTGAGCTCTAGGTCAAAGGGTAGTTTGATATCTGTAGATGCCTCCACCTCAGCCATTAGCCTCCACCTGTTGCTTCTTCCATAATTTTTTTTGCAAACCACAGATGGGGAAATTCTGCTGTAGCTCGCTTTATATTGCTTAATACAGCAAATCTAGACAGAAGATCAAGCCGAAAGCAACTGCAAAAGCTTAAAACTGTTTTTAGTTCTGAAATCGTACTGCAACAGGAGCCGTGATTCTAAAGCAAAGAGGGTCTTTCTGTCTGTGTTTGAGAAAGGAACTCAGGAAGTGTTGATGAGAGAATTAATATCTTAATTCAAGATGCCTGTTCTCTCCCTCCCCCTATTTCCCCCCTCCCTCCCCCCTCCCTCCTTTTCTCCCCCCTCTCTCTGGTTGCCATCTTGAGGTTCTACCAAGCACCAATGAGCATTTCCTATCACAAACGTCCTCTTTTTAAGAATTGCTGCTGTGGCCTTGCTTTGTATTCTGCAGCTTATAATCATTACACTTTCAAAGTGTCCATAATAAGTTTTCTCTCTGGCTCTCTTTGATCATAGGTATCTCCACAGAAATACAGAATACAATACAAAATAGCAGAATTGGAAGGGAACTTGGAGGTCTTCTAATGACGGAATAAAAAGCCTTTCTGCCATCTGGATGACCTCTAGAATCGGGTTCCTGGGCCCGTACAGTTAAAGCCCAAAAAAAAACATTTGAGGAGGGAGATTCCTCTATCTCCACCAGGAAGAGTGTTCCACTTCCAAAGAGTCTCCTCCCCTTAACCAGTTTGGTTTTGGAGTATTCCAGTGGTCAGAGATTTTTTTTAAATACTGGGAATAGATTCCCAGCATCTTTTCTGCAATATTGTTGCATGCTGAAAAGCCTGCTATCTTCAGATATTTTTACAGAAATGATTCCTAAAGAAAAGTTTGGAGCAGTTTTTCTCATCTCCGGCAACTCCAGGATGTGTGGACTTCAACCCCCAGAATTCCCCAGCATTCTGGGAATGGAAGTTCACACATCTTAAGAATTGCTAAGATTGAGAAACATTACTCTGAGAAATATTAGACAAGGGCGAGGAATCTTTTTTCCCCCTCCTGTCATGGGCCTTATTCATTCAAGTAATCTTTATGTGGCCTGTAATTGATGAAGCTAAAGCAAATAGTGAGTAGGAATATCCACTCTCTTTATTATTCTTTATCTCTTGTTTCTAACACTTCCAGTCTCTCTCTTGGAATAGAAGGCTGGAAGGAAGGAACTAATATGTTTTACCAAAGCCTGAACTAAATTAATGCAGAGGAGTTTTGAAATTAGGTGCAAAGTCATAAATGTTGGTTACAGGGCTGCCTGTATTAATTATTGTTGAGTAGAGTCAAACCTGAGCTACAAATAATTACCTTCTGTAGGAATCATTGTTGAGCTAGTTTTAGTCTAATCTGTAAAAAATGAGACATAAAAGCCATGTAAGTTTCTAGGGGAAAAAAAGAGGATTTTAAAATATGGTAATAATTCACATGATATTGTTTTTAAATTACTTTTTTCTTAAACATATTTAAGGAAAACATCTCTTAAACACATCTGAGGATCTCAGTGGGAAGAAATTGATAAAGTCCTTCAGTTTCATTGTCTTTGACCAGTGGAAATGCAGCATTAAAAGTTAATTTGCTTTCCTATTGCCTCTTCCAGACAGATCTGTAAAGAATTCACAGAGCTCCTCACTCAGGATCGAACCCCTCTTGGTAATGCGAGGCCAAGCCCTATCTTAGATCCTGGCATCCAGGGATGTTTGACTCACTTCAGCCTGATCACACATGGATTTGGGAGTGCTGCCATCTGCGCTGCCATGACCTCTATGCAGAACTACCTGAATGAAGCGCTCAAACTAGCAGACAAATCATACATGAATGCAGGAGATCAAAGCCCCCCAGATGCCAATAAGAACCTTGAGAAGATGGACAAGCATCGGAAGTGAGCATGGAAAAGATGAGAAAGAAATGAAAAGTTACAGAGACACACACAGTGAAGACAGATTTAAAAACTGTTACTGCACACAGACTTAAGATCTTCTTGCCTAGAAGGCATGTAGATATCTCTTAGAACTTGCTTTGGGGCATCTTTTTTCCTTTTTCTTTTTTTTTTAAATTTTCAACCACATCCTTTTCTGGACACGTGTGTTGTCTCTTTTTTTCCTCTTTAAAGCTGCTGTTATCCATTCATTTGGGACCATGTACCTGAAGGTAAACATGGATTTATCTTTTTATTTTTATTTTTATTTTTTATTTTTTAAAAAAATTAAATTGTAAAAGGTGGTGCTATCTCCTTTTTTCCCCCTCATATGGAAATTTGTTACATGCTGTACCTAGACACTTTTGCAGGCAATGCTTTTCCTCCAATATACGTTGTGTGGTGGAATCTCAATGAAATTCAGCAATAAACCAGTTTCAGCAGGTTGCGAACAAATGTACTTAAGTCACATGCTCACGTTCTCTCCCTCCGTGGGAAAAAGAAGCGATTGCATCTTCTTTCTGTTCAAACAAAATCCAAGGTTTATTGTTACATCTGAAAATGGCAAGCTGTGGTTTACTGAAATACAATAAGCTGCAATTTGATGCTCCTTGTTTCTAATTAGCCAAGATTTTGCAACCTCCTCAGATGCATCAATAAGCTATAATTAAACAGGAAGCAGATGTTTCTGTATTCATTGCCACTGCCAAAGGACCAGATTTCTATATGTGTTAAAGAGACAGAGATGTAGAAGGGAGAAGAAAGTACATTGGCTGGACCAAGTTCATTTTAAAATTATGGTTAAACCTCGTCAGTTAGGCTGCGTAAGTGAGTTCATGCCCATATCTTGTAGAACAGGACTAGCATGATTATGTAGTAGTTTGTAAGTAAAGTTTTGGCAAACTAATTAAGAGATATAATTAAAAAGTTTTGAACGTGCTGTGAGATTCAGGCAAAGACTCGATCATATTCTAAGCTAATTGCCTCAGTTGATGCTCAGACATTCACAGATATCTAGATTATGCATGAGGAACCCTCCACCACACCCCAAAAAGCAGAAACCATATCTGGTCACTAAATCGGGGTGGATTTCAGTGTTCTCAGCTGCTGAAATCTTATGACATTAATCTTGTGGCAGCATACCCTTGTATTGTGTTGTTTTGCGTCTGCAGCATTGGTATCTTCTGAAAAAGTCACTCAAGAAATTCCAATTTTAAATGTGCATCCATGCTGTGATATGGAGGTTTTACTGGGTTCCTATTACTTCATTGGAAACCAGCAAGTAGAACATAATGCAGTATTAGTCCCCGTTTTTTTCTGAGTTTTTGACAAAATACTGAGATTTTCTGATTTAATTTTAGAGAAAATCAGGATAGGAATAAAGTGAAATAATGTGATAGTTTTGAATATGTTTGCCTTTTTTTAAAAAAAAGTTTTAATTTCTAGACATAATTTAAGAAATGTTGCTAAAGCATATTTTAATATAATGAGGTTGCAGGTTTTACAAAAATAGAGTTGCAAGACTGAAACGTTCTGTAGCAGATCTTTTTTATTCAAGGAAGAGTTACTTGGAGCTAATATTAAAACCTTTAATTTTTCATCCACTTTAAAAATATGAAAAAGAGATACCGCAGCTTTATGTGCATCATCAGGTCATTTTTTTTAATTAAAAAAGGAAAAAAACTTGAAAATAGGCACGTAACTTTTAATTTTTTTTTGTTTGCCTACATAGGCCAAAAATATAAATATAAATATATATATGTATGTCTCCAGGGAAGTTTTATGTGTATAAGGGAAAACAGTGTCTTGAATGTATATATTTATTTATGTGTAATTTAAAGGGATTTGTAAATAATGGTGAACATTTTAATACTTTTTTTTATAAATGGGATTCAGATTTTAAAAGTTTTCCCCATCCCACAAAAAAAAAATTATAAAAAAATGAAATAAATAAATAAAATATTGGCTAAACTGCATACACTGCTAGATGATGTACAGTCTTGTTTTATGCTAAATATTTAAAAACTTTTTACAAATAAAATAAAATTCTTCCCCTTTTTTGGTCACTAGAGAGTTATATCTGTTTGGAAATGTCTGTTGAACAAGCAGTCATTGCATATTTGATAGTATTTGGAATGAGTGCAGATGCATTGTTTATCTGGGGAAGGTGTGTGTGTGTGTGTGTGTGTGTGTGTGTGAGCAAATAAATAGAAATGATAAAACTGCAACCACTCTTCGGTGAAGATTTTCTATTCAGTGTACCATTGTGTACCACAATCCAAGCAATTCATAGAAATATTCTGAGCAGAAACATTGAATATTATTTACTGGGGAAAACTGATTATTTTTTTTTCTAATGAGGATGGAACAACAAACCCTATAAAAGTAAAGTTCAACAAATCCCTACAACAGCAAACCCTACAAACATATCTATATCTTCCTGAGACTGCATGGCTGCTCTCCTGCAGTTGCAATGCAATCCCTGGAAAAGACAGCGAGTTTAAGGAGTTGCAGCCAGTGTAATGTTTGCACCCCTGCATACTTTAAGCCACCGTTTTTCCTTTGTTTCTGAAATACTATATTGCATAAGGCTCTTAACCCCCCCAAGCTCTCAAAATAGTGCAGGCTAGTATAGGCTAGTAATGATAGTTACTGTAATGCCTGAACCCCATTTGGATGGACTACTGTAATGCACTATATGTGGGGCTGTCTTTGGACACATTTAAAGCTATAACTGGGACAGAATGGGGCAGCCAGGCTGCTAATGGACCAAACCTGCTATTTCACAATAACACCAATTTTAAGACGGCTGCACTGATTGCTAATAAGGTTTCTGGGCCCTATTAAAGGTTCTGCTTATACATTTATGGCTATGTGAATAGATCACAAACTACTACCATTGAAGGAAGGCCTGCTGAAGATCCTACTCCCTCAAGAGGTACATGGAATTTGGCTAATATGGCAAACATTTGGCTGATAGTGTTTTATCTTTTAGAATAAACCTCCACCAGAGATGTGCTTGGCACAGTCCTTTATTGCATTTCAGAAATCTCTGAAGATTTCCAAGATGGTTTTGGCCCTGAATGGGGTCACTGTTGCTATTGTTATTGATACTTGATTTTTCTTGTACTCCTTGCTTGGTTGTTGCATATCATCAGGGCAATTGATTTGGGAAGTTTAGAAATATTGTAAAATACCTGCGTATATAAATTCAGTTAATAAGAACAGGTATCATAAACTACAGTAGTAGAGTTGGCATAATGCTCAAGACTAAAAAAGTGCTATACAATCTAGTGCAGGATGCAATTCCAGTCTGCAGAAGTTCATTACTTGAATGCATCGATCAATAATAATAAAAACCATAATTATAATAAAAGGACTAGATAATCAAGTGCCTAGAAATAACAGGAGTCAGTAGAAACATCAGAAGTGTTGTGCAAAGATCAATGACACAATGGAAGACAGTTGCTAATCAATGGCGATAGACTTGGGAGAGTCTATTGTTTGTTGTTGCATTGATTCCTCTTGTCAGCAATACTGAACAAGCCAGGCTAAGGCTACCAAGTCTGGATAATGCACTTGTGATACCAGGAGAGAGCAGAAGAGAAGAGAAAGAACTGGAGAAAATAAAAAAACACAAAGGCCTGCAGGTAAAAGTAGACCTAGGGTGCCCAAAGAAAGCAAATATGGTAGCAACAGTAATAAGCGCAATTCCAAAACATTTGAGGCATCACATAAACACCATCGGCTTTGACAAAACAACACAAGTCAATTGCAGAAGGCAGCTTTACATGGAACAGCTTACATCCTGTGATACCTTTAATATTAAACAACAACACTTGTCTATATTGGATCCTTGGGAAGGACCAAAAGGTAGACAAAAATGCCAAATCTAGTCTAAACATCTGCTTGACTCTGACCAGCAAATTTATTAAATTTGTCTTTGTTGGTCCTTGTAGATTTTGCCCTAAAATGGACTTTGAGCCATTTCTAAAACCATTTTGATGTATCTGCTTGTAATTACTAATTGCTGTTTCTAAAATGCTGATATAAATACCTATTTATATATACCTATACCTATAGATACCTATAGATGGCAATTGAAAATGGCAAAAGAGACTTTCTTTCTTTGCTGATACACGGCAGCGTCCCATAGTAAAACCCTGGCAGCAGTGTCACTATCAACCAGAAACTCTTTCTTCCTACAGTAGGGCAGTCATGCAAATTGCTATCATCTTTGCTTTCTTTTGCCATCCTAGTTCTACTTTTATTTGCAGGTCTTTGTATTTTGTGATTTCCCCCCAATTCTTTCTCTTGTTTTCTGCTGTCTCCAGGTATCGCAATGCACATTATCCAGACTTGGTAGCCTTGCCCTGACTCATTCAGTATTGCTGACAGAGGAATCAATGCAATGACACAATAGACTCTCCCAAGTCTATCACCATTGATTAGCAACTGACTTCCATTGTTAAATCTGACATTCTTTATTAAAACACAGTTAACAAAATGGAGCCTTAATATTTTCATAGCTTGTCGATAGTAAAATCATCATCATCCCAAATCAGTTCAACACAGAATGAAGACTTATTTTGCTGCTTCCAACAGTTTCAACATGACACAAACAATTTTGAGTTAATGCCTCTAAATCAAGGTTTTCCAAACTTTGAGGTGTACCTCCCTTGGGGTGTTGCAGACAGACCAAAAGAGATATGAAGAACCTTTCCGTTGTACATTGTTACAAAATCCATCTTTCCTGAAGTTTTATCGCATTGTTTTCATTGTTCATTTTGGTGTTTGGATTTTTTAGGGGAGGTGTATAGGATTACACAGGATTACATTAGGATTACACAGAAGAGAGCTGTGAGGGTAAAACATTTAGAAATATTGCTGTAAATGGTGTTATATTATCTGTCCCATGTTTCTTTGGGTATCTAATCACAGCATATGGCTGAAAAATACAATTTTTAATGCATATTTACAAACGAGCGAAATTTAACATTCACTTTCTCTAACTTGAGTACCTCTAGATACATTTGACTACAAAGTCTATCATTCCCG